AAATTATCTACTCCAATAAAAAATGTAATTTTTTTTTACTTTGCTAGCTAGGTATGCGAAAACCACATTATTGTTATTATAGAAGATTTGATGTGACTTGTCACGAAAGAAGCAACTATTTATTTATTTATTTAATATAAAAAAAAAATAATAATAATTAAAATTGCAAGACCGTGATTTTCATTCACATCATGATATCGTCCTGATTTATTTTCTATCAAGTGATTCATTGCTATACATCGTTAATATTAGAAGGAAGTAAGCGATGGTAATTAAAACTTTGATGAGTTCGAGAGCCTTTATAAAATCATTGCATGACAAGTCTACGTTCCCTGAGCCGTACTCAAAATGGGAAGATGTAAATGTTAATTAATTCACTTTCCAGAGATGCTTTTAGAGTCAACCCATCAATAATCAAAAGGTATGAACGTTTATAAGAAAGGCCTTCACTTATACAGTGCAATGCTTACAGTTTGCAAACAACAACGACATGATTTCCTGTGCAATCGAAATTACAAGTTCTATTAAAAGAAAATCATTACCAAATTTGGTCATATAATGATTTTAATATGTGGATCACATGATATTTCAAAATTTTATAGATGCATTTTTCGTTTTTTAGTTGAAAGAAAAACTCCATCATTATGAGTGACACGTTATCAAACTCTTCTTTTATTATTTTAATAATATTACCCACCCTAATGGCATCTGAAGTTATATCGACCAATTCAGGATTATATGTTGACATTACTATATACAAAAAAAAATTGGGAATTGTATCAGTGCACCATGCATAATAAGAAAGCAATCTTTGTAAATCATAATTACGACAAAAAACAAAATATTAATTAATTAAAAGGGATCAATTATTTATTTTACTATCTAGGTATATAATTATTATTAAATAATGGGATACGGTAAAATTACATTCTTTTTTTATCTAACAAAAATTACAACGTAAAGTAAATTTCTAAAGATTAAATCAATGTTAGGTAGAGTCGGTGGTCGTGGTGGCGGTGGTCGTGGTGGAAGTTTTGGTGGAAGAGGTGGTGGACGTGGAGGTGGTGGAAGAGGTGGAGGTATGTATGTTTATAAATGAACTTGTATTTGTATTTTTGTTTTTTTACAATGAAATATCCTATATGTTTACATATTGGTACACAAACTTTTTTAGGTCGAGGTGGCGGCGGTGGTAGAGGTGGTGGCGGTAGAGGTGGTGGTAGAGGTGGTGGCGGTCGTGGAGGTGGTGGCAGAGGCGGAGGTCGTGGAGGTGCAAGAGGTGGAACCAAAGTAATAATTGAACCACATAGACATGAAGGTGTTTTTATTGCACGTGGAAAAGAAGATATGTTGGTGACTAAGAATTTAGTACCAGGTGAAGCGGTATATGGGGAAAAAAGAATTTCAGTTGAAGGCCAAGACGGTGTCAAGATAGAATATCGAGTTTGGAATCCATTTAGATCCAAGTTAGCAGCTGGCATCCTAGGTGGTATTGACAATATATATATAGCTCCTAAATCCAAAGTACTATATCTAGGTGCTGCATCTGGTACCACTGTTTCACATGTTGCTGATATAGTTGGTCCCGTAAGTGTAAAATTTGTTTTGTTGACAGGATTATTATTATAAGTTAATTATTTAATTGTTTATTTCTCACAAATAGGAAGGAATAGTATATGCAGTTGAATTTTCACCTAGATCAGGACGTGATTTAGTAAATGTAGCCAAAAAAAGGACTAATGTTATACCAATAATTGAGGATGCGCGACATCCATACAAGTATCGTATGTTGGTTGGAATGGTAGATGTGATTTTTGCAGATGTGGCACAACCAGATCAAGCTCGTATTATTGCGCTGAATGCGCATCATTATCTAAAAAATAATGCACACATTGTAATCTCAATAAAAGCAAATTGTATTGACTCCACTATAGATCCCACTAAAGTCTTTGCCAAAGAAGTTAAACGATTACAAGAAGAACACATAAAACCTCAGGAACAATTAACTTTGGAACCATATGAACGTGATCATGCTTTGGTTGTTGGAAAATATGTAAGGTCAAAATAATAGTGTGTGTGATGATGGTTAATAAAGATTGTGATAATAATAGCGAATTATATTTTCAGTAGAATTAAAATAGCAAATAAATACATATTACAGTCAACCCTCCATAAATGCACCCTGTGTTACTATTTAATAATAATAAGATAAAATATTGCACCACATTTGTCACCATTATAACTTTTCTCTTCTTTGGCCCATTATCATACCTTGTTGTGTTGACACTAGGTGCTGTATAATATCCGCTATCTGTTTAACAAAATTCGTATTGTTAAAAGTTGACCTGATAGCTTGTGAGTGATTTTTTATTTTTGCACCTCAATTAAGATGGTTCAAACAAATTTATAAATATATCATCAATAGTTCTGAGAAGCATAAATGACATTATGGACAGCACTCACTTCTGTGATCATTTAATTGTTTATTATGTAAAAATTAATAAAGGAGAACGCAATAAGGAAACATATTTTAAATGAGCTGATCTATCATATTTTACATTATGTACTCTGGAAAATGCAAAAGGTGTAGTTTTTCGTTTTGCGATCATTAACTGATCAAGCTTGATTTTTTGATCCAAAGTTTCTTCTTTGTGCTCTATTTATACTTGTAAGAAGAATAGTATGGTATCAATCCAAGATAAACTTATTTTGGCAAACGTGTTTATATCTTCAAGAAGCTTTTCATCAATTTCCAGTAGAATTTGTCCGTTCTCCTTACAACAATTTCAGATATTAATATCTCTTCTCTTGTGAATTCATCTTTAATAAAGGCATCCTTGATATCGATGATAAAAGAGAGAGAACATGACTAAAAGGCAAAAGTCAGCGATTTGCAGTAAAGCAAATAGTGAGTGAGTACCTAAGGCGGTGAGATGAGACATGAAAGGCAAAGGGAATGTTTACTTTGATCCAAATATTAAAATTACGTATAGTAAATGAAGATATAGTAAAACCAGACTCGTGAATTTGAAATCTTTCATTACAATCCAAAAGATTGTCTAAAGGATTATTTATTAATAAAAGATCAAATATTAGAATCAAGTGAATTGAAAGGATTTCTTGTTCCATGTTCTGTGGCATTCCCTCCATCAACTGGTCCATCTTCTCCTTGCATCATAGCAGTAACTTCCATTATTCTAGATTGTCTGACTTGTGATCCACCTCCACCATTTGACGTTGATCCACCACCAGCATTACTGGTACCGCTACTATGATCAGCAGTACCAGTCCTCGATTCATCTAAACCAAGATTATCTAAAGCCGTGACGATATTTGTTTCATCGCATGGTAATAATTCTTTAGTCTCTATGACCTTTGTATTGTAACCATTACAATATTGGCACTTGTGATATATAAAATGATATTTTACTGTACTTTGCTTAACACAATCATTACATAATATTTTTGATACGTAATGTTCGTATTCTGGTGGCATTTGTTGTTGGGCCACAAGTGCATCTATTCTTCTAAAATATATTTCCATATTTGAAACTGATTTCCAGCATGTTGGACACTGGTATGCCGTCAATATATATTCATCAAAACAAGCCTTATGTATAATATGTCCACACCTCTTTTTAAAAAAAAATTTTTTTGATTAAATAATTTCAAAAAATATAAATTTTTTTTTTTAATAAAATAAATGATTAATACAAACCATAGTGTAAGTTGTTGATAATGAAGTGAATAAATATTCACCACAAATCATACAATCACGATGCATATTTTTTTCAATGCATTGATGTGAATCTTTTCCATAAATTGTCAAACAACAATCACACACATCACAATGAAAATAATCTGGTTCTTTACCAATTCTACAAATTCCACATTTGTCACAATGAAATATATCTTTATCGACTTCATCATCCCAAAATTTACACTTGTCACAATAATATCTCGCTAATTGTACTTTACAATTATTACAATTTATTGATGCTGGTTGTACAGTTAGACAATGCATACACATCATATTTTTGGTGGCACTTCTTTTATATATATATACAGATAAAAATTATTATTAATAATTATAAATATTCATTAAAAAAACTTTTTTTTATAAAGAAAATATATTCTACCTATCTATTTTATGATCAGATGCATCGTCGTGACAAAATCTACAAGTAAACCATCCTTTGCAACATTCTGCTTGTAATTTTGCTCCCCTAACATAATGATTACAACCGAAGCTATTTGTTTTCTCATTCTAAATTAATTAAAGTAAATAGCAACAATAATAAGTTATAATGTAATAATCATTATTATAATATATATATATAAATATATGTACATATGTTGGCTTAAAATCATCTTGACTAGGTCCATTCGAATTGCCTGCAACTGATTTTTTTCCTTTTTCACGCCAGTCATTCGTCATTAATTCCTTTTTTTAAAAAAAAATTTTAATTACCAATTTAATATACATATATGTGTGTGTAGGTATATGTAAAATCAAAAAAAAACAATACTTGTATTTTGATCAATTTCTCTTCATGTTTAAGATCATCGTCATTTTGAATGTTAATAATCATTTTTCTTAATTTCTTTTGTGATTCCGACTCGACAACCTTAGTATTAGGTTTTCCCACCCTTTCCACCCTAGCCATTCTTCCTTCATCTATTACACCTTCTCCTCCCTCCTCTTCATCTAGGCCTTGTTCAGATAATGCTTCATGGTCATAACGGATATTTTCCATTGAATCTAGTTGCTGCCCATCGTCGTCATCAACAGCATCACCGCCACCATTTTCATTTTCACTTGAAAAGATTTCTTCTTGCACTCTCATAAGTTCCTCGTTTACTAGTCGCTCATGTTCATATTCTTCAGAGGGATCGTGATCATTCATATTTCTTGATAATAATAATAATAATGATAATAATGACAAAACTATTGACATTTATGTATTAGTATGTATGTACTTAAATAACCAAAATTGTGTACGTGTAACTTGAATTAAAGGACAATTCACTATTTCCATTATTATTATAAAAATCGGAAAATAATTTATTTTATAACATTAAATTTATAGCAAATACTTATTTTATTGATATTAATAAAAAAATATACGTTATATAAAATATTTTGTTTACTTTTCATAAATTTTTTTTAACTTTCTCCTAAAATTAATCTTTATGACAATTGGCAGTAGAAGAAGGTACTGTTTTTTTGATGTTGATCTAGAAATCGTAATGAATGTAGTAGTAACGATTCTTCTAACTTTAAACATCCAACTTCTTTTCGTTGGAGAATTAATCGGTGGATGTCACTGATTCGGTAATGATGATTGGCTTTGCGGCGAATGATAAGTGATAGATATATCGTGTCAAAGTAATTAAAAAACTAGGATCCTTGGAAACCTCCAAAAGCTAGTTCTAATAAAAAATTCATTTTTCTTTATATATGATTTTAAAATATGCAAATTTTATTTATTATTTAAAAATAAAAGTTAATAAAATTTATAAATATATAAATATATGATGCAATAATAAATTTCTTACATTTTCCGGTATTAAAGTCAATCGATATTTCATAACCTACTTTGATGCAATAATCTAATGGTTGTTTTCTAATAATTATTAAAGTGATTGTTACTAAATATTATTAATATTGTTATCATCATCTATAATATAATCGTCATCATCATCATTATTGTCATTATCATAATAATCAACATCATCATTAAAACCATTATCATAATCTGGTAATGTGATATCATTTTTTCCCCAATGCCTTGGATCTTCTATTGGAAATGCAAAATCTCTGATTTTTACTAAAGTCTAAAAAGAATATATATAAAATAAATTATTAAATTAATTTTTCTAATAAAAATTTATTATTATTATTATTGTTATATTATTATTATTATATTATTATCACTACCAAACCCAGACTTGATTTGCTGCTTAATTTTTGTTGCGTTATATCATCGTCATCATTTTTTGATATTTTATCATTATCATTCTCTTTATTCTCATTCCCTTTATTTTGTGATTTTGCTGATTCTGAACCAATAGAATTTAAATTTAAATTTAAATTTAAATTATTACTTTTATCATCATTATTATTATTATTAAATTCTAAATTTTTTGTTTCGACGAGTGAAGTCATTTTAAATTTGTATTATCTTATCATCTACCTATGTATGTTGTATGTACGTAGTAGCATTTAGTAATAGTAAAATCTAAAAAAAAATTTATCAAGTTCCAGCTTAGTTTGCTAAATCTTGATTACCTTTTAAGTTAATTCTGATGATAATCTATTTAGAACATTAGAACGTTACTACTACACAAAGAAAATCTTTGGCATTATTAGAATTCCAGTTTTAACGAGTAAATTGATGAATCGAGTAACGATAACAAAGTTCGATTTTTTTCAGCCGGAAAACTCTTGCCGAGAATAATAAATAACAACAATAAAAATTATTTATAAATACGCTGCCCGTTTGACTGATTTTTAATTAATTAAATTAATTAATTTCCTTCTCACTTCACTCACTCACTCACTCACTCGCTCGCTCACTCGCATACGCATACTAATATATAAATTGAACTTTCACTTTTCCATTATTTATTTATTTATTTTTTGTTTTAATTTTTTGATAAAATCAAACAAAAAAAAAACTCCCTATAACAATGACTCGATTTAATAATAATCAATCAATCATGATTGATAAATCTTCTTTACCTACCACAATCACCAACAACACTGTCAACACTTATATTGACGCTAACATTGAAACCAACAATTCCAGCAACTTTCACATTACTAATATTAACACATTGTCAGAAATGCTAATTACACAGTCGGACACCTCCTCCGCCTCTCTCATTTCTCTCAATGAGAATACTAACACAACTAGCACTACAAATACAACTAACACTTCTGCTACTAATATAACAAGCACAATAACAATAGACACTTCAGCTAAAAAAAAAAATTACAATGACAAATTCTACAAAAGAATTTTTTTTCAACAATTTTCCCAAAACAACAAATCAACACCTCCAAAAAAAATCAATAAAACAAGACTAATCTTATTATCTGAGACATCTGACGAGTACAAAGGGTTAAAAGAAAAGTTTCAATATGAACGTCCGTTAAAAAATAGTGACGTTCGTTATATATTAAAATTGGAAATGCCTTCTAAGCTAACAAAATCTCACAAGAGATACAAAAAAATAATTGCAAGATTAAATAATTTATCAGTTGATGAAGTTACCAGAAGTGCATTCCATGGCACTTTTACCGCTTATAATCCTGTTTGTGATCCTAACAAATTCTTCAGCGATATTAATAATAATAATAAAGAAGAAGAAGAAGAAGAAGAGAAGGAGGAAGAAATTGTTAACTATGAGTTGTGCGAAAGTGGTTGTGGGATGTGTGGTATTATCAGGCAAGGCAATAAAACTAAGTGTTCAAAACATAAATCTTTATTTTCAAGTAGGAGTAAGTATATTAAGTGTTGTTGCCATAATTATTCAATTATCGTTATCTATTATTTAATCAACTAACTAATCAATCAAATTGACTGACTGATTGATCAGAAATGTGGTTTGCGACTGATCCAAATACTTCACTCTACTTTTGCACCAGTAACAATTCATTAAAAACAATGTTTGTAGTTGATGTAATATCTAAAAAACCAAAACATATTTATGTTACAAACAAAGAAAAGGTAAACTTTCAAATATCTATATATTAAAATTAAATTAACTAAATCAAAAATGAATAAATACCAAATAATTTTTATTTTATTTTGATTTTAGGCAACATTACCAAGATATTTAATATTGTTTGAATATAAACACCAAGATATTTATGCTTGAATTTTTAGACTTTTTGTAAACTTTTATTTTTATTTTCCCTTTCTTTATATTCCATCCATCTATCCATCCATCCTACCATATCTTCTCCTTTCCTTCTTTCTTTTTACTGTTTATTCTAAATATTACTTTCTATTTTCATTGTAAATATTTGTATTATTATTTTGGGGTGGGTATATATATATTCTATTGGCCGGTTGTGTTACCATATAATTTTATTATTTTGTAGATTTATATATGTTATTTAATAAATTTTATATTATTGGTTTATCTGAAATAAGTTCACAACATAGTCTTTGTCAGCATAATCAAATATAAAATACAATTTCTTTACTATATTCATATCAGCTACGGGAGCTAGTGGCTCATCAGCTACAAACCATTTGCAATGGTGAGTGTGATAAAGTTGATGACGATGATTGATTGATGTGAGGAAATTTAATATCGAATTGGGTGTGTCGCTGTTAAGTTGAATAACTGGGGTTCAAGCGATGGATAGGTGGTGTGTGGACGTTCAATGTATTTTGCATAACGTAACCATCAAGTCAATTAATAGTTGTTAGGTGAAACGGAGAAATTTTAGTGTTTGAGGAACCTATTAGTTACCATTAGAATCTAATTTAGAAATATTAACTTTTAAAGTCTTGATAATAACGACGGTGATATATTACAAACAAATCTTACAAAAAAAGATTAAAAAAGGAAATTATAATTATTTGAAAATTTTGTTAACAATGGAAATTATCTCAGCCACTATAACAGTGTGTAATACCTATATATAATGTTCATTATGATATAAAATATTATTATATTTATTTAGAATGTTCATAATGACTTTTAAAAATATAAAGAAACCAACGAATCCAAACTATTTTTGTAAATTGTCATTTGACGGATGACTGACTAAATAGCCCAAAAGATTTATTGTTTACTTTGTTTGTTAGTTAATTGAAATAATAATATCTTTTCTTTCCTTTTTAGACTATGAAGCTGACATTGTTGTATTGTTATAATAGCAAAATATTAATAGGCTTAAAATTATTTGTTTATTAATGATGAAACACGTCAATAAAAACATTCTTGGTTTCAGTTACGTATTATAATATTTAGTTAAAAGCGATGTATTAAACACGCATTTTTTAATATGTCAAACTCTTACAATAATGTAGAATATACATAGAATATTTACTACTAGTTTTCCTAATAAAATAGAAACATCACTAGCCCCAAGCAGATTAATCCACCTTTATATTGTTGATTTTTAATTTGGTTACTTAAAGACTAACTGGTTATGTAAAGCTTACAATTTTTTATAATATTGCGTCTGAGGATTTCCCTGATAACTAGCTGATGAAAAGTAGCGGAAGAAGCAGAAGAAGAAGAAGAAGCAGAAGAAGAAGAAGATGACGATGATGGTGGTAATGATGATCGTGTTGATTGCAAAGAAGATTAGTGATTGCAGTCGAATTGATTGTTGATTGGTGTTATTTGAAGTAATTCTTAATTGTATGTATTGGTATCCACCATCATTATTATTATTACCACTACTGTCATCATCATCATCACCATTATTATTATTATTATTATATTACTATTACTATTACTGCTACTGCTATCTCTCCGCTATTACTACTATTACTATTACTACTGCTATTTCTATTATTATTACTGCTGCTGCTCTATTATTATTACTACTACTGCTATTTCTATTATTACTACTGCTATTACCAATACTAACAAAATTATTATTACAAATGTGATTTTTTCTTTATTTTTGATTATTGATAAATCCATTTATGGTAAGATTTTATTTGATTATTATTATCGTTATTGTTGTTGCCGTTGGCGTTGATGGTATGATTTATCATGGTAAGATTTTTATTGTTTTATGATTATTATTATCGTTATTGTTGTTGATGTTGATGATATTATTTATCAAAAGAAGAAAGGAGGAAATTTTTTTTTTCGATGCATACTTTTTGTTTCATTAATAATTCTTATAATAATAATAATAATAATAATAATAATAATAATAATAATAATAATAATAATAATAATAATAATACTTTTTTCTATTTATTAAAGAATTTATTTTAGTACATAAATGCTATTAAAAGTTTATAAAACAGTTTTTCGTGAATCTCTTTACCAACCCTATGAATATTTACACCTTCTCAACCAAGCACTATCAAATCTTTTAAAGCAATATTGAACCAACACCATTTTTGAATAGCCGTGGCTTTAGACAGAGAACGACATTTTCAAAAAGTATTTAACAAAGTTGTTATTATTATTATCAACAATTAAAAAAAAACAACCCCGTTCATTAACAAATGTCGCGATTCTTGTGTAGATTTTCGACGTTTTGCGTAACGTTTTTCTTTTCCCTCCTGTTTTCTCCCGACTTTGGAAAGTGTTTGTTCCACGAGAAACGTTCGCAAAATCTGCGGTGTTTAAAAAACATAAGAACGATTTAATAATAACAAACCATAATAATAATAATAATAATAATAATAATAATAATAATAAAATTCTTATTGATATTGATATAACGGGATTTTTCAAAAAAATCTCAAGTTGCTCAAAACCGTGTAATTGAGTTTTTTCTCTTGTTATAATAGCAATAGCGATAGATGTATTATTTTTTTTCTATTAGCAATTCGAATAAGAATTATTTATTAGTTATATTGATTAATTAAAAAATGTTTTTTGATTAAATAAGATAAGATTCTGTAGAAAAATTAAGCAGAATTGAAAATGGAATAGGCAGAACTTGAGCAGAAATAGGATCCCAGTCCATTAAATCAAGATTTTTAGTATCCGTTAAATCGAGAACTACAACTATTATTACAAAGACTATGAAGAAAAAAATAGAACTGATAAAGAAAATTTTTTTAATCGGATTGTGCATATTATTCGTTTTATTCGAATTGTTTGCCTTATTCAAATATAAACCCTAACCTATTTCCATAAAGCTAACAGATTCTTCCATTGTGAACAAATTTAACGTAATACACATAAAAGCGAAATTTTTTTTTAATACAACCTAACCATGCGATTTGCGATGTACATTATATTACACTTACCATATACGTGATAGTTTTAGATATAGTTCTTCGCATTTCTTTTGATACATACTTCTGTGTTTTCTGTTTAATATTAAAGCAGAAAATCATCGTCCTTGAATCAAAGCTCATTAAATCCATATTCGATAAATTCGTGATCGCCTAAATTCGTAATTTTTTCAGGGACCAATATTAAAATGCTATTCGATAATTTCATAATCATAATAAATCTCGATGATCGATAAAATCACAACTCTCTTACTTTATTATATGCCATCATCGTATTAAAAAATTTCGCTCTTTAAATTCATATCTCGAGTAACCATTAAAATATTACGTAAGTAATAAATTAAATTTTTTCCCTTGCTAATACAAAATTCAAGTTTTTAAATTAAGCGTAGAAATACAGATGATAATTGACAATTTCTTGAAAATGTAGAATCTGCGAAGAGCTTTTAGCTAATAATAAGTGGGAATTTTTTCATACCAATAAATTTTTAAAATCCTTTATAGAAAAATCTCTATAAAGTCATATATTTCCTATTCTCTTTATATCATGAAATTATAGAGTACATAATTCGATAATTTTCTGTACCAGACCTATGAATTTAACGAGCTTCAACTATATTAAATATTAATAATCTTATTATATTGTTTTGCTATTTTCCTTTAAATATCTCGAAACTTTACTAAGCAAAGTGGATATAGTAAATTAACTTTGTAAAGAATTGCATGTTAACACAAAATCGAGATTTTGCTATTAGGACTGTTTCTATTTTTCGATCCTAATTAGTTTTGGTCATAATTCAATTTATTTCTTAAAAAGTAACATTACTATTAACATCATTATTATAAATAAAAGCACATTACAATACTATTAGATTATTATTATAAATAAAGGTATTATTACATTACTATTAGATTATTATTATAAATAAAGGTACAATACATTACTATTAGATTATTATTATAAATAAAGGTATAATTATATTACTATTACATTACTATTAGATTATTATTATAAATAAAGGTTTAATAATAATTTAAATATATAATATTTAATAAAATAATAAAAATGTCTATTTGATTTTAACTGTAATCACCAGGGACAATAACTGGACATCCTTTAGTACTCTCACTAGTATTACATTTGCTTGCATCAGAACAACAACGGATACAGAAACGTCCATCTTTTGGTTCGATTAAGTTCACAAATTTTACATAACTATATCCCACACATGCTGCACCTGGTGGAGCTCCTACACTATCATATTGACCACCTTCATCATCTGCACGTAATTGGTATGCGTCTCGATTGATTCTACCTGTATATTGAACGTATCCCCAATCAGCTAGGTAATGTGCTGATACAATAAATCCGCTAGGAATAAGACTGACTGGTCCCTGTACTTCTGGAGGGGTGGTTGTATTACAGAATGGTAAAGCATCGTTTTCGTGATCAGCAATAATACCTCCTGGTGCAGGAGGAAGGTAGGTGCAGAGGGTGGCGGTGTCTAATGTAATTTCGTTCCCAGGTGTATCAGCAGTAGGAAGTGCATTGGTGAATAATGTAGCACTTGCAAGGACCAAGAAGATAATTGATGATTTGAATGATTTGATCATTTTCGTATTTTTATAATTTAATATTTAATCTTTTACTGATTATTATTATTATTATTATTATTATTATTATTATTATTATTATTATTATTATTATTATTATTATTATTTATTATTATAATTATTAACGAAGAAAAATTTTTTCGAGTGAATTTGAAGCCTATATATACATATAATTTTGCAGAAACATGAGGTTACTAAATCCAGTAATTAACTTTGTCGTATGTTTTTAGTATGCCAGTTTAATAATCTATATATAGAACAAATGAACGATCTTATTTTTGGGAGGTTCGTTAAAATAATTTAATGGATTTTCTGGAGCATGAATTCATTATTTTTTGTATTTATAAGAGCTGTTATTCGAATGAATAAATGCTAACGATTCATTTTCAATGAATTAAAAGTTCTATAAATAATTTCTCATGGATAATTCCTTTTAAAGCAAAATTAAATTTCCATAAATTATACAGGCAATGAAAAATATCTGATGACTTCATATTATTTAGATTTTCATTTCATAGAAAATCTATTTTTATTAAAAATTGGTTTGTGATAAAAATACTATCATTTTTTTTAAAAACGTGATGATAATATTCGGCAAAGTGCGGCCATATAACAATATTAATATTAAAGTAATTGAAAATAAGAATTTTTTTTTATCACTTGTCAAAAGAATGTATTGGATGAGGAAACATCATTACATATATTAATATTAATACAATCAATCAAACCTCATTTCGACGAATCTATAAAATAAGGAATTGCATATAAACTCTATTAAACTCTATTAAGGCTGTTCGCGTAACCTATTTAGTCATTACGTTAAATTAAGTCTAGTCAAGGGTTTCTATTCGTAATACAATCAATATTAATTCGAATTTATTCGTTTTAATAAAATAGGTCTACTTCTTTAACAAGATAATATAAATTACAATAATTATATTTAATAATCTATATTACTACTACTATAGCTACTAGTACTATGACTTAAGAAAATGTTAATTATTCCTATTTATTATCATCACTGTATAAAAGGACTACAAAGGAAATTATTTTATTATTATTTGATGATTAATATTAAAATTTCTCTATTGATCTGCAGGATACATGACCAATATTTTTTTGTTTACATAAAACAAAAACTACATCTTGAAACTATATAGTGTCATTAAAAAATAGGAGCTAATCAAAAGACAGTATACTGAAAGACAGTATGATTAATAACAGCTGAATTATGAACAAACAGCATATGGATCTTTGAGAAATGTTGGTTTATTTTATTTCGCTCACTCTTAACTAAAAGAAAATGTATAACTTTCTTTTTTAAAAATTTTTTTTTATAAAGATGCCACCAAAAAAGACACAAAAAAAGAAGCAGAGAAAACAAAACAAAAGAATCTTATAGGTAAGTATTGTTTATCATAAGAATGGTGGTTATCACCACTTGACGTCACTCTAGTTAATATGTATAAAAATTTTTTAACATATCTTTCTTTTTTCAAAATAAAAATTCCAAAAATGAAGACAAGAAGGTAAAAAGTAAGTGTTATTAAAAGAATGGGTGGTTATCATCACTCTAGTTATTATCATAAAAAGCAATCATGTTTTGTAATTATGTGCAAAAATTCGGAAAAACATTAATTTTAAAGTAATTCTAATACTAGTGCTGTTGAGGAGGCTGTTAAAGAAATTGATAAAACCGAAGATGCTGATGATAGAACTGATGATGCTGGTGATGATGATGCTGTTGATGCTGAAGATAGAACTGATGATGCTGGTGATGATGATGCTGGTGATGATGATGATGAGACAATGAAGCTGAACATGAAGTAACTTTTTTATAAGCTTTTCTTTTTTTTTTTAGAATTCAAATTTGGATATTTTCATATTGCTTACACTAAAATTATAATAGTTGAGGAGGAGGAACAGAGAATTTGAAATAAGCATGGTGGCATTTAGCAGGCTGGTGAGGGCCAGGGGTGAGGTTTGGGTCAGGTGCGATCAGGGATTTGCTAAGGGTATGGTTTCTTTTTCAACCAAAGGATTGTTTTTTTTTAAAAAATATTAATAATTAACCTTGGCATTCAAAATAGAGGACAGAGTGGGGATTGTTAAGGTTATTTAGAGATGCGTAAGTACAATATCAAGTTAAAAATTAATAACTAAAATATAATTCCACTAATCATCTTTTTTTCAATTAGGAGGCTGTGTGCAGAGCATGCTGGAAGGACTGAAGTTGGGTTGAGAGATTTGAGGTTTGCAGCAGAGTTCCGAGAACAAGTGAGGATTGAAACTCTTACAAATGATTAATAATAAAAATTTTAATTCTTTTTGCATTCTTGTTTTATCAAACATTTTGTAAATGTTCAAATAATTATCACAATTATTTACAAACATTTAGATACACTCACTGGTCATAAGTATAAGGACACTTGCAGATCATCAGAAATAATTGAATAAAGAAACATGAAAAAAAATAAAAATGAATTTTTCAGAATTTTCAAAAAAATCTTTAACTTGAAAATTGACCACAATGTCAAGTTCTAACAACCTTTGCAGTATAAGTGAAAAATGCGTCTTATGTTTGAATTTAGTTATATCCAAAACTCCGGATCATTTGGTAAATTAATTAATGAAAAAAAAAATAAAACATGGAAAATTTTACAAACCAATTCAACCTCAAACTGCTCACCAATTTGAAACATAAAAGACATCAAAAAATATATGAAACTGTTTTAAATTGATT